TTAGGATAAGTTATTGGATTCCAGCACAGTGACTCACTTATTCAAGATAACCGAAAACATTGGCTGTGTGATGACAGGAATGACAGGTAATCAGCCAGATGTCTACTTAGATATATAAGCCCTATGTTATTGTCTTCAAATTATTTTTGAGTTTTGTATTTTAAGCTTCCTTTAGTGCCTGATTTGCAGGTGATGTAAGTGGATTTGCAGTCTTCTAAAACTAATATCAATATTTTGAGTATTGTGAGCTTTTTTGAAATTATAATTGTAATGAAATTAGGTCTTTATGCTACTGTCTGGGAAACTGGGCTGAGTCCCCTCTCACAGATGATTTATCTTATTTCATCTACAGTTAGTAGTTGAAGGGGACCCAAGTCAGTATATCTCAAACCTGGTAATAATGACACTGGTTAGAAGTAGGTGAGAATTATTATAAAAATTACTTTGGCTTTTTATTTTCTGAAAAATTCAAACCTAGAAACAAAGATTGAGATTATTCTTTCTCTTTATTGCTTGTTCTTTTGGGAGTTACTAGACACTTGCAGAAATTATTTTGACTGCTGATGAAGAGAGGCTCTGTTTAAAATGGCCTTAACTATATATAGAGCTCCATCTTTTAAAAAATTTTTATAGTATTCATTAGTGGTAGAAAAAGCCATAGTGGACCCCTTTCCCTTTCCTTAATGTGTGTGTGTACATAGAGTGGGAAAATGGTCTAGTTTTCAGATTCATTCTTCTAACAAGGTAAACCTTTGTTTTTTATGCTATAAGCTGACAGCAGATCCCAGGTACAGAGGGCACGCTATGAGGCAGCTAATTGGAAATACAAATATGGCTATGAGATTCCCGTGGACATGCTGTGTAAAAGAATTGCTGACATTTCTCAGGTCTACACACAGAATGCTGAAATGAGGCCTCTTGGTTGTTGTAAGTATGCTAAGAAGTCTCCCAAATAATTGATGAATTACAACTTTTTTAAAAAGAAAACACAGATAAAAGTTAAGCAACACTTGGCTTCTGAACATTGGTTTGGAAATTATATAAGATAGGGAAATCTTTATAATAAATCAGAGCTGAAGGATAGGTTTTACAACAGTATTTTACATATTATCTTCAAGCTTTAGGTGCTATTAGACTTTTTATCAAAATGTTTCTGTTTGGAGCATGCGATTTGAAAGATCCAAGTCCCTGTTTTGTTAAGGCTTGTCTTGCAATTTCAAATTACTAATTCCATGGAAATACCTACACTAGGCATCTTAACAATGTAGCTGTTTCTTTTGACCACCCTAATGAATTAGGGTCACACACAGGCCTGTGATTCATATTTTTAGAATGAATTTCTATTTTTAAAACAATGAAAATTTTATTGGGAGAGGGATGAGATTTACTGATTTTAGATGTAATATAATAAATTAGCCAAAAAATTCAATGCATGTTTGATGTTCTGTGCATTCATTTATGATAATTAAAGCAGTCAGTATAATGATTTCTCTTTAGCATCCAACCCAACCCTATTGACCTCCCACTTAAAAATTACTTAAACCCTTCTCATCTTAGAAGACCTTAGAGTAAAGAAGTATTTGTTGTGTCCTCCAAGCAGTAAGTGGGAATCCCTTTGTGTTGCCCTTGTACTTTGTATGTATCAAATATAAAATGTAAAGAAAATTACTGGGTGATAATAACATTTGAATAAAGTAATTCTCTGATCTTGTCATAAAATCAAGTTGAAAATTCCTCATTAGTAGACATACAGAACATCTATAAATATGAATAAAGTAGTAGCTGGCTAATACAAAATCTTATAATAGGACACTATATAAAAGAGGTTCATATCTAGAAAATAACAAACCAGGAGTTGAGCCATTTCTTAATTACTTTGATATCTGCTCTGCTGAGCAGAAAGAAATTTGATGGTGATGTTTATTTTAATTGTATGTTTGTAATGTGGTAACATTAGATTTGTAGTAACAAAGTTACATGTATAAAATTTCAAGTTTGGTTCGTACTGACTTACTAGAGGGGCATATACCAGCAGTAATGAAGATGGGCAGTGCAAAGGTGAGCAAGTAGCCCCTAACGGTATTTCACTTTGTGCCAGCATTCTCTGTGTTCCCTGGAACCTTAATAGATATTTCTTAAATTAAAAAATTCCTTGGTTAAATAAATCTGAGAACTACTGAGTAAAAGTTAAA